CACAGCCATCTCCCGGGGTGCCCCATGCTCCCCAGGTGACACTCGGGTGTCTCCCCGCAGGTGGTGATGGCCGTGGCGCAGCTCTACTTCCACCTGGCACCCAAGGCGGAGGTTGGCGTCATCGCCAAGGCGCTAGTGCGGCTCCTGCGGAGTCACAGGTCTGTGGCACCTGGGTTGTGGTGGTCCCCTACCCCACTACCATGGCTGGGGGGACCCCTGGGGAGCCTCAAGACCCTGGGAGAGACCCCCAAAAAGCCCATCCCCGCAGGGACACTGGGTTGGGGCACACTGCCAAAAAAGAGGGCTTTTTGGTCCAGCCCAGTCCAGACATGGGCTGGCAGCCTCGTGGTGGCACCAGCCTGGTGGTGGGTCCTGCCCCATCTTTACAGAGACTTGTTGGGGGGGTCCGACCCTGCCCCGCTGATGGTGGTCCCCTCTTTGTTCCCACAGCGAGGTGCAGTATGTCGTGCTGCAGAACGTGGCCACCATGTCCATCAAACGGCGGGTGAGTCTCGGACTCATTGTGGGAAGAGTTGGCCCTGTTGACTCTGGAGTGGAATGAGGGTTAGCCAGCAGGGTCACCAGGGCCAGCTGCCTGTGGGTGGCCTCAGTGAGGGGGGGACAGGGATGGCACTAACTTGCTGGCTCTGCATGCAGGGGATGTTTGAGCCCTACCTGAAGAGCTTCTACATCCGCTCCACAGACCCAACACAGATCAAGATCCTCAAGGTGAGCTGGGAACACCTGGTAGAACCCATCACTGGTGGCTTTGGGGCTTCATGGAGCCCTTCCCTGTGGGGCAGCTGTCCTCTATGCCCTGGGGACAGGAAGACAGCAAGGACCCCGTGCCCTGGCACCATGTCCCCATGCTGCCCATCTCTTCCTCTTTCCTGCAGCTGGAGGTCCTCACCAACCTGGCCAACGAGACCAACATCTCCACCATCCTGCGGGAGTTCCAGGTATGCCATGGCCATACTGAGGCCACTGGGGTGTCACCCTGGCATGGCTCTGGGTGCCAAAACACCACCATGGAGGGAACAGAGGAGAGCCCCACCAGGAGGAGTGGGCTGAGGCCATGCCAACCCCATGGGTGGCTCCAAAGAACCCTATCATGTGACCACCACATGGGGGGATGCCCTGCATGTGGGTGACATGTCATGTGTCCCCCCCCATGCCTGTGCAGACCTACATCCGCAGCATGGACAAGGACTTTGTGGCAGCCACCATCCAAGCCATTGGGCGCTGCGCCACCAACATTGGGAAGGTGCGGGACACCTGCCTCAATGGACTGGTCCAGCTCCTCTCCAACCGGGACGGTGAGTGCACGCAGTGGGGGTGAAACAGGGACTCCATCGCTCTTGGGGCAGGACCCCACTGAGGCCGGGTCTCTGTCCGCAGAGCTGGTGGTGGCCGAATCCGTGGTGGTCATCAAAAAGCTGCTGCAGATGCAGCCGGCCCAGCACAGCGAGATCATCAAGCACATGGCCAAGCTCACTGACAACATCCAGGTGGGTCAGGGCATTGCGTGGCCCGCAGGACCGGGAGAGTGGCAGTGGTACCACGTGCCCGGGGGCATTTTGCAGGTGCCGATGGCACGGGCCAGCATCTTATGGCTTATCGGCGAGTACTGCGAGCATGTGCCCAAGATAGCGCCTGACGTGCTGCGCAAGATGGCCAAGTCCTTCACCAATGAGGAGGACATCGTCAAGTTGCAGGTTATCAACCTGGCGGCTAAGCTCTACCTGACCAACTCCAAGCAGGTACCAGGAACGTGACCCAATGATGTGCCTCAGTTTCCCCACGGGGGAGGGAGAGGCTGGCCCTGAGCATGTCCTCTGGCACAGAGCAAGCTGCTGACCCAGTACGTCCTTAACTTGGCCAAGTATGACCAGAATTACGACATTCGCGACCGGGCTCGCTTCATCCGCCAGCTCATTGTGCCCACCGAGAAGAGTGGGGCCCTGAACAAGTACGCCAAGAAGCTGTTCCTGGCCCAAAAACCTGCTCCCATCTTGGAGTCCTCCTTCAAAGGTACTCACCCCTGGTCACAGGGCATGGGGACACGGGGCCAGCTATCACCACGGTGCTGCATGTCTGTCCCCGAGCTGCTGCCACCTCTCACCCCGCTGTAGATCGGGACCATTTCCAGCTGGGCTCCCTGTCCCACCTGCTCAATGCTAAGGCTGTGGGCTACCAGGAGCTGCCCGACTGGCCAGACGAGGCCCCCGACCCCTCTGTGAGGAACGTGGAGGTGAGTGGAGCACCCCAGGGTGCAGGGTGCATGGTGGGGTCAAGGTGGGAGCATCATCTCAAGGTCTTGGGAGAGCCCCAGAAGGTGCCCAGGTGCTGTTCAGCTGCCCCGTGTCCCCTCTCTGGTGCCCACACACCTGCTTGGGGACAGGAGTGGGGCAAGGGCTGCTGTTTGGGCCCCCCCCTCCATGGGCGATGGCCCCACTCCATCACCCCTGTGCCGGCAGGTTCCCGAGTGGACCAAGTGCACCAGCCGGGAGAAGAGGAAGGAGAAGGTGGAGAAACCTTTCTACTCCGACTCAGAGGGAGAGTCAGGGCCCACGGAGTCGGCGGACAGCGGTGAGGACCCAGTGGCATGGGCATGGGGCAGGGATCACTGTGGCAGGGACATCAAGCAGGTGCCACCACGGTGGGGCATGGGGCAGGAGCCACCATGATGGGGCACCAGGCAGATGACACCACACTTGACCATGGGACAAGTGTCACCACGGTGGGGCATGGGGCAAGAGCCACCATGATGGGGCATCAGGCAAGGGACACCATGGTGGGGCATGAGGCAGGGGCCACCACAGTGGTGCATCAGGCAGGTGCCACAACGGTGGGGCATTGGGCAGGGGACATTGCAGTGGAGACATCCCATCATGGTGGGGACATGGCAGGGGACACGGAGGGATGTGGCAGGGGGATGCGGGGACGCAGTGGGGGAAACAGGGATGTGGTGGGGGGTTGTGGGGATGCAGTGGGATGCAGCGGGAAGATGCAGGGGTGCAGTGGGGATGCAGTGGAGGGATGCAGGGATATAGTGGGATGCAGTGGGAGGACGTGGAGATGCAGCAGGACGCCGTGGGAGGCAGCAGAGGGTGCTGGGATGCAGCGGGATGCAGTGGGAGGATGCAGGGATGCGGTGGGATGCAGCAGGGAGCTGTGGGGACATGGGGGGACGCAGCAGCAGGGCTGAGCTGTGCCCCCCGCAGAGCCTGAGTCCGTCAGTGAGGAGAGCGGCAGGAGGAGGAGCTCTTGGAGGGCCCGGTCCCGGCGCGGGGGG